GTTTGGTTCACTAGGTTACACAATCATGGGGAAGACTGCTGATCTGACAGTTGTCCAGAAGACAATCATTGACACCCTTCACAAGGAGGGTAAGCCACAAACATTCATTGCCAAAGAAGCTGGCTGTTCACAGAGTGCTGTATCCAAGCATGTTAACAGAAAGTTGAGTGGAAGGAAAAAGTGTGGAAGAAAAAGATGCACAACCAACCGAGAGAACCGCAGCCTTATGAGGATTGTCAAGCAAAATCGATTCAAGAATTTGAGTGAACTTCACAAGGAATGGACTGAGGTTGGGGTCAAGGCATCAAGAGCCACCACACACAGACGTGTCAAGGAATTTGGCTACAGTTGTCGTATTCCTTTTGTTAAGCCACTCCTGAACCATAGACAATGTCAGAGGCGTCTTACCTGGGCTAAGGAGAAGAAGAACTGGACTGTTGCCCAGTGGTCCAAAGTCCTCTTTTCAGATGAGAGCAAGTTTTGTATTTCATTTGGAAACCAAGGTCCTAGAGTCTGGAGGAAGGGTGGAGAAGCTCATATCCCAAGTTGCTTGAAGTCCAGTGTTACGTTTCCACAGTCTGTGATGATTTGGGGTGCAATGTCATCTGCTGGTGTTGGTCCATTGTGTTTTTTGAAAACCAACGTCACTGCACCCGTTTACCAAGACATTTTGGAGCACTTCATGCTTCCTTCTGCTGACCAGCTTTTTGAAGATGCTGATTTCATTTTCCAGCAGGATTTGGCACCTGCCCACACTGCCAAAAGCACCAAAAGTTGGTTAAATGACCATGGTGTTGGTGTGCTTGACTGGCCAGCAAACTCACTAGACCTGAACCCCATAGAGAATCTATGGGGTATTGTCAAGAGGAAGATGAGAGACACCAGACCCAACAATGCAGATGACCTGAAGGCCACAATCAAAGCAACCTGGGCTTCCATTACACCTGAGCAGTGCCACAGGCTGATTGCCTCCATGCCACGCCGCATTGATGCAGTAATTCATGCAAAAGGAGCCCCTACCAAGTATTGAGTACATGTACAGTAAATGAACATACTTTCCAGAAGGCCAACAATTCACTAAAAATGTTTTTTTTTATTGGTGTTATGAAGTATTCTAATTTGTTGAGATAGTGAATTGGTGGGTTCTTGTTAAATGTGAGCCCAAATCATCACAATTAAAAGAACCAAAGACTTAAACTACTTCAGTCTGTGTGCATTGAATTTATTTAATACACGAGTTTCACAATTTGAGTTGAATTACTGAAATAAATGAACTTTTCCACGACATTCTAATTTATTGAGATGCACCTGTAGCTCTGGGTAAGAGGTAAAAAATGTTAACTGTTGACTGTAGTGAAGAGGTTATGTAATGTTTGTACAATTACATTAAGCAATGTAATTAAAGGTGCAGTAGGAGATCTTGGAAAATGCTAACTTTAGCCTGATAACACTGAAAGCGAACGTCCCACCCTCCCTGCAATCACCGTCCAAAGCCACGCCGCTTGAACGCATAAACGCTCACAGACCTCGAATACCAGAGACATCATTACTACAATAGGCTACATCAGTGGTTCCCAATTCCAGTCCTCGCTCGATTAATTTACAGAGGTATATTATGTCACATTTCACACTTCTCTAGTAAGTTTCGTCTGTGTGTGAAGACGCTGCGCAGCGCAGATATGAACACTGCAGAGAGACATGCAAAATATGCAGCGGCGGGGGCTGGCGGGTGCGCGGGCATGGAATTGGGAACCGCTGGGCTACATCATGTGCCATTCACCGGTGAGAAAACGTTATAGTACAGTTAGTAAAAGTACTACAATACCAGGAAGGAAGATCGGGTTGTTGATGTTTGTCTGCCATTCTCGCTCTGTCTGCACAGCGTGCGTGAACGCACTGATGACGTATCCTATCTGCGCGAACCGGGTGCACAGAGGTATGCTAATACATACGTTGACAGACAGATAGGAAAGCTAATTAAAATGCTCGGACCAAGTGTTTTGATTGGACAAACATTTCTTGGTCCTACGCCTTCCACAGAATATATAAATACAGATAAATACATTTAGACCACTTAACTTAATGATTGCTATCGGGATGTGAAGAGACTTTCAACCAGCATAACAAAAAATGTTTCTGAAGACAATCACCTATTGCACCTTTAATCGCATAAATATGCAAATAAGAACGATAACCCAGGGTTTATACATCTAAAGTGTGAAATGTTAAACCCTGACTACCCAGGATTAAAAATGACCCTGAGTTAACAAATTCAAGTGTGAAAAGCCCAATAAGGCTCTTTGAATTAAACTATAGACAGTGCTATGACCTTGAAAACAAAATAGCCTTTCTGTGTCTTCATTTTAATTACGCTGAAATGTCTTATTGAAGAAAAATCTCATAGGGTACATAAAACCTTGGTTTATTGAGTGTTAGACAATATGACTTGGAATGATGCCTTTAATCTGAAAGAAGTCAAAAGAAAATAAGGTTCTCCTGGGGCCTAATGATACTCTTTGGCAAGATTTGCACCATCCCTTTTGTGACTGTCTTATAAAAAATAATATAATTCAGTAAGGCCCCTTAAGAAGATTACCACATGAATGGCAAAGTTATAATTACAAGACTATGAGGGGAAACTTTTAAAATATCTATTTATGTAGGTAACCTTTTTAATCTGTTAGAGCTGAAGGGGCATTATCAGCTTAATGACTGTCATTTCTCATGGGTTTAATTGGTTATCTATTCTTCTGAACTGATAAAAGACAGACATAAGTGGAACAGCAGCAGTGCACATTAGGAACAGCCATAAGCACACTTTCACTTCTGCTGAGGGGTAGGGATGTGAACAATGGGAGGGGGGCACAAAATGCGGTCTGAAGCATGAAAATATACGGCAACATTTAATATGGGGCATAGACATGCATGTCATGTAACTCATCCCACACCTTTTGTACTGTGACCAAGAATAATACATAGAATTATGTTGTTTGTTGAGGAGAAGTGGGCTAATAGTTTTCTAAACAATCAGTTTTATTTAGATTTTCTCATGGTGGACAATAAAAAGGCTTCAAGTACAGAGCCGTCTGACAGTTCTGGGCTGTGTACATATGGATATGAGTAGCCTTTGTTGTTTACCAGATTCAAGGTGCCTGCTGTAACATTGCCTCCCTCCTCTAGTCACTGCTGTCTCCACTGCTGTCTCCTCGTATCTGTCATGGTGAAGTCATGGTGCATTTAGATTCTGAAATTTGAATAGATGCTCGCTGGATCATGAAGCCAATTTCTTGTGACCTTGCCTATGTTTATAAAATGGTAATAAAGTTGGTGGAGAATTCCGCTGAATATCATGTAATTACCAGTTGTTTTCAAGATTGGTCAGTTGTCACCGAAGCCAATGATTTTGTTTTGTTTTCGTTCGTTTTGTTTTCCCTAAATTATTTGTAATCAAATATGTATTTCAATGGCATTTAGATTTGTGTGTGTGTGTGTGTGTATGTATTAACAAAAACTGCTAATCATTCACAATTGTTAACAAATTGCCCTCTCTTTCTCCTTCCTTTTCCTCTCTTTCCGTCTCTCCTGCTGGTGGCAGATGTTTCACGAGGACGCGTCTGGAGGATGGCAGCTCGTGGCAGTCGACGTGAATAAACCACATGGCCGGGCGCCTGCTTGCCTCCAGGTACCAGACATGCAATTTAATGGCACTGACACCCCTGACCATCAGCACACCCTCAGTATTGCTTGACTGCCACATCTAATGCCACACTACTGTGCAGGAGTGCAAAAAAATGTGCTGCAGGTGGCCTGAATGCAATAGCCACATTTAGATTTTGCTCAAACTAGCTGGTATGATTTTGACAGAGTATGAATAAATTGTGGAATGAACACAGCAAAGTTTGCCTTTCCCTCTTTTGTGAGCCCAATTTAGCACATGCACATTACACAAACCAACATACCCACATATGTGGATCATTCTTATCCTAAATATCTCTTCAGAAGCACAAGAGTTTGTTGTTGTTGTTTTTTCCCTATTTTACTTTAAATCAACATTGATTCATGAAATCAATACTGATCCCATTTACTTACCATTTACCATGTTCCTGGTCTTGTTCTGCACGATTTTCAGTACGTTACTCCAAAGAAAAAGGATTGCAAATATCATTTCAGACTGACAATAGACAAAAACTTAAATGGCTTATTATCTTGAAACAGTGTGCCAATGTCGTTTTTTTATGCATTTTGACACTGATATTGCAGAGAAATTATGAATTGGGTTTGAATGGTCATAGAATAGAGTGGGCTTTTGATGGCTGATAATACCATAATAACAGAAAGGACAGCATCTGGAGAGGGTGTAATGGCACTTACCTTTAAAAACCAGTCCTGACTTTTAGATCTGCCTACACAGAGGGAGAGAGATCTTCAGTGAAAATAGGTCCTCAGCAGAGTCACATAGAAGTTAATATCCAAAAGTTCATTATAATGCATCACATTTGGGTTAAGATTTGACAGTGTAATCCTGGTGAAGAGCTTGCATGTCATTCTAACATGGCTTTTCAACTGTAGAGTAGGGAGCATTTGAAAATATTCAGTGCAAGTAAAAAAGACCAAAGACTGGCATTTAATGACATTTCTGGGACCAAGTTTCTATGAGGTGAACCCATCAGGTAAAGGAAAGCTTTTGTATTTCCTCAGAGAGGGGCAAAGGTTACAGGGGGTTGGATGGGGTGAACAAGAGAGAGAGTGCAGCAAGTCGTTGGAGTTGTAGTTCATCATAGACTTCAATCACAATGGCTTTCAGCACAATGCAATTGTCTGTGAACTATTATTGAAGCGTCATGACACAAATGGCAGACAAATGAACACTAACTTGGACAGAAAGGAAAGGAAACTCATCCCCCCCCCCCCCCCCCCCCCCCCCCCCCCCCCCCTCCTTCTAGCACTTCAAACAGTTCAATAAACAACAAGGTAAATACAAAAGCAATTCATAACTATTTTACAATTTGGCAAATTGGTGGCTAATTTGTATGAATTTGTACGATCTCATTTATACATTTTCATTCAATCTGCTTGTGCCCCACAGATGGTCAGGTTTAGGGGTAGACATTCATGCTTACGTTATCTTTCTAAAAACTGAATTACATTGTACAAATTAATATGAAACCTTGTAAATAGTTGTTTTCTCGTCAGATCTGCTTGGTAATTATGTAACTTGTAAGTTACTTAATGACCTTGTTGTTTATTGAACTGTTGTATAAAATCAATATCACAAAGTTACTTATATTTCAGATATGTTGCTTTGTCTATTTGCTCCACCAATAAAACAGTTCCAAACAAAGCCACAATATAATTACCTGCTGCTTGTCTCCGAGCAATAGATGGTATACTGACATTCCCAAATGTCTTGTGTGCTTGAACAAACCAGTTGAGTGAATAATTCAGTGACTCATTCAAGTCTCTGTCCGAATATGCCTACTTTCCCACCATATAGTAACTGAAAACACTGTGATTCAGTAGTGTATCCAACTAGTATTCACAGATAGTATTCATAAAACAGTAGGTGAAAAGTACCAAGATGATCTACGGACACTTTTCAATCCCATGAGGCCACAGGAGAGGAGTTGTGAATGGTAGTGAAGCAACACAACTCATGGCGTAAGTCAAAGATGAAGATGGTGAATGTCTGGATTTCATTCATACTATATAGTTTATACAGTTGTGAAGTAAATTATTCAAAAGAAGTACCCACTCAGAGAGTATGCAATTTTGGACATTTCATTTCCTGAATGAATGTGTTTCTGAACAAATTAGTTTGTGTGAATAATCCAATGACTCAGCCATAAAAACAGTTACTTTTCTTTTGTTCAATGAATCAGTGTGTTTGAACGAATCAGTTGAATAATGATTAAATAACTCTTTATCTACTCATAACCTGCTGGCATATCGTGTAACCTGCAGGAAAAACTGTTGCATAAGTCCAGCATTTACCTAGATTAATAAATCTTCCTGTTTTGAAATTATGTTGTGATAAAAAAAGGTAGGTCTGTGTTTATACAGCCAAAAAATACATGGAATGACTACATAGTTTGCCTTAAATGGCACAAATCTTGCCACAGTTTTTAACAGAATCCTGAGTGAATCTCACAAAGAAATGGCCAGGTCATATTTATTTATGTATTATTAATATTATTATTATTATACTGTATATATTTTTTTACCATTACATATCCCAAATTCATTAAAAAAAATAGTTAGTTATTACTGGTTATTAGTATTTAAAATAAGAATTCTCATCTCTGTAATGCAAAAAAATTAAAATAAATCTGCAGCAGATATATGTCAGTTTCAGCTGTCATTATGTGTAATAATGTTATCTTAATGTAATAATGTAATAATCTTAATGTCATAACTCATCAGTATAGATTAATGTTTGTTTGTATGTTTCTGGTGTTGGCAGGCTCTAGCTTGTTCTTTCTGATACAGTATATCAGATGGAAGTATATCGGGGAAGTTGTAGCCTAATGGTTAGAGAGTCGGACTCATAACCCAAAGGTTGTGGGTTCGAGTCTCGTACCGGCAGGGATTGTAGGTGGGGGGGACTGAATGTACAGCGCTCTCTCCCACCTTCAATACCACGACTGAGGTGCCCTTGAGCAAGGCACCGAACCCCCAACTGCTCCCTGGGCGCCGCAGCATAAATGGCTGCCCACTGCTCCGGGTGTGTGTTCACTGCTGTGTGTGTGCACTTTGGATGGGTAAATGCAGAGCTCTAATTCCGAGTATGGGTCACCATACATGGCCACATGTCACTTCACTTTTTTTTTAATTTTTTATATTTAAACTGGAAGCAGTGGCTATTCTGTATTTGGTTGTGTTTCATTATATGGTTAAGGTTAATGAGGTCTGCTTGATCTCTTCTCCAAAGGCCACCTTGGTGTTAATTAGGCCTTTGCATTTCCTTATGTTATAATTGCACTACAGCTATTCTCATGAATTTTTTAAGTTCTTCAAGTACAAGATTTCCTGTCTCGAGTTTTGCACTTGTTCTTACTGCAAACTTTTTTATATAAGTTTCAATTCAGACTCTAGATATGAATGTATAAAAAAGAATATGTTTCAGTGGAGTTTAAATCCTGACCTTTACAATAGGGGATTTGCAGTTCCCTTTCAGTCAGTCACGTTCTACGTTACGTCAGTCGTGACTGATGAATTGGGATCTCGCCCGAGAGCCCAATCACCTTTGAGTGTAAACTAAACAAGCCAATGACAGTTGGCGTGCGTGTTTCGCCATGTGCACCCTGCCCCGCCGCGCGGGTATAAAAGGAGAGCGTGTGCAAACGCAGAATCTCCGCGAGTGTCTGCAAAGAAACAGCCTAGCCTTGGTGTTACGGCGCGTCGGCGGGGGTTGCCATTCAGTGCTGCTAATCTTCGGCGTGCTGCAGCTGCTATTCTAAGGTCTTGCCGCGACCTCCGCTGGGCGCTTCAGCGCTCTCTCTAAAAGAGTGTTTCCTTTTTTTCCTAAAAGAGCAAATATCTAAAAGATCTCCACGAGCGACGGGCGTCTTTTTAAAGATGGCTTCCCGCTCGTGCGTTTCTGGATGTGGTCGCTTCCTGGCTTCATCTGATAGTCATGATCGCTGTGTCTCATGCCTGGGCTTACAGCACGCTGAAGCAGCGCTCATGGATGAGTCATGTTCTCGGTGCGGGAACATGACCATCGCAATGTTGCGGTCTAGATGCCTCCTCATTAAACAAAAAATAAAAATGAAGGGGGGGGGGGGGATCCCCCTTGCCATGCCCCGCTCTAGCTCCGGTTCTCGGAGGGCTACTTCAGTTCATGGTCAGGGAGACCTGAGGATCACGGTGAGAGCTTCCCCGATGAGTACGTCTCCGCGGGCCTCTCATTCCTCTAGCAATGTCGCACCACCTGGTGTTCCCTGACGAGTGTGCTGGATCCTTGGACAGGGCGGGGTCCAGCATCTTGTGCGGAGCACAAGCGGATGACAGGATGTCGATCGCTGCATCGGAGGGCGAGCTAGGCTCTGGAGGTGAGGATTCGTCTGCGCTGCCGCCGTCAGGTAGAGTGGCGTTGCCCGAGTCAGATCCAGAGCTGACCGCTATGCTTTCCCGGGCATCGCTGCATCGGAGGGCGAGCTAGGCTCTGGAGATGAGGATTCGTCTGCGCTGCCGCCGTCAGGAGGGCACCTTTTTCTGCCCGAAACAGACTTGGTGCCTCCTCCATCCTCACCACCCTCGACGGTGGAGCGGCCAAAGGGTATGTGGACATCCCCCCAGTCGAGCGTGCTGTTACTATGCAGCTCTGCCTGCAAAGCGCCGCCGCCTGGAGAGGTAGTCCACGGCTTCCGTCCAGAGCCTGTAAGTTCTTGTCCGCTCTGACGGCTAAGGCTTACAGTGCTGCTGGACAGGCCGCTTCCACCCTGCACGCCATGGCCCTCCATGTCCACCAGGCCAAGGCGTTGAAGCAGTTGCACGAGGGTGGTGCTGACCCAGGTGTGCTGCAGGAACTGGGTACCCTGGGTCAGACGATGTCCACACTGGTGGTCCAGGAGCTCCACCTATGGCTGACCTTGGCGGGTGTGAGGGAGGTCAACAAGCATCGCTTCCTGGACTCCCCGATCTCCCAGGCCGGCCTATTCAGCGAAGCGGTGGAGGGCTCTG